GGTGATACATTAACTACATCAGCTCAGGATATGGCCCAAATGATTTTGGACAAAAAGCTAATTTGTTTAACTTTCTCCTACCTGAATTATCTTTTTAAACTATATTTGAGTGCAGGTTAATTTAAAATAATAGTCTGTCCAGTAGAAACAGTCTGCTAACATTTTTTTTTCGGGTGTGGGTTGGTTTTCTTTTATATTTTCTTTTTGACAAATGACTAACGCATTCTAGGCATGACTATGGCCAATATAGTTCAGACCATGAGTTAAGGAGCTGAATGTCTGAAGGTGGGGGCTGTAAGTAGTATGTGGAGGTAAGCACTGACTCAGCATGTTCTGCAATGAATTGTTCCCAATCATGGTGACTTAAAGAGGCATATGGCAAGGTGGCAGGTAAGTTGGGACTCAATGATTCCTGCTTCTTACACAGGTAGAAATGGACCAACCTCCTGTGGAGAAAGTATAGGGCTGGGAAAAGGAGAGTGGTAGTGGCAGTTTCTGACACCCCTTTTTGGCAAAGAATCACCTTGGCAGGTGATTGTCAATTAACTTTAACGACACCGTCAGAGAAGTATCACCTTGTCCTTTGTCTTTGAGAGTCTCAGAGAGGTAGCCGTGTTAATCTGTAACTTTAAAAACAATGTATAGTCCTTGGCACCTTAGCGTGTGTCTACACAGCACCCTAAACTCAAAATAAGATACGCAATTTGCACTATGCAAATTGTGTACCTTATTTCAAATCTGTTTAGTGATCTTATTTCAAATCTGTTTCGAAATAGGCTATTTTGAAATTTGGCACGTCTACACAATGCCAAGTTTTGAAATTATGTGCTATTTCGAGCCATTTCTTATACCTCATGCAATGAGGTTTACTGGGATGGCAAAATAGCGCACCTGTTATTTCTAAAAATATTTTGAAATAAGAGGTGGCTTGTGTAGATGCCGGGTAGCTATTTCGGGATACCTCTGGTATCCCAAAATAGCCGTGCAGTATAGATGTACCCTTAGGGTGTGTCTAAACTACATGGCTCCGTCGATGGAGCCATGTAGATTAGGCTGATCAGCAGAGGGAAATGATTTAAATTTAAATGGCTGCCGCGCTGAACCGACAAACAGCTGATCAGCTGTTTGTCTGCTCAGCACGCTAGTCTGGATGCTCCCATGTCAACCTGAAAGCTCTTTATCGACCTCCCCGTTATGCCTCGTAGGATGAGGTTTACCGGGGAGGTCGATAAAGGGCTTTCATGTCGACTGCCACGATCTGCCGACAAACAGCTGATCGGCAGAGCGGGGCAGCCATTTAAATTTAAATGAAGCTGCGATTATTTAAATCGCGGCTTCATTTCCCTTTGCCGAACAAACAAATCTACGTGGCCCCGTCGACAGAGCCATGTAGTCTAGACATATCCTTAGAGACTAACAAAAATATATACTGTAGCATCATGAGCTTTCATGGGCAAACAGGGCTGGCTCGAGCCATTCCTGTGCCCCGGGCCGCAGGCGTGCGACACATGCGCGGCTCCGCCCCGGGCGCACGGCACATGTGTGGTCCCGCCCCTGGTGTGCTGCGCACCTTACAGCTGCAATTGGGTGCATGGTGCGCACCTTACAGCTGCCATCAGGCGGCCCTCATAGGTTGGCGCCCCAGGCATCTGCTCAGCTAGCCCCCACTTTAATTGGGCCTGTGGGCAAAACCCACTTCTTCAGATGAACTTGAGTGGAGAAAAAAGGGGGACTTTCAGAATTAAGAGAAACAGATTTTACCTGCTCCCCAGACTTGTCTGGTAGCCACATTTCAATCATATTTGTATGTTCATAACTTTGAATAGAGTTTTGCTACACACATTTTACAATGACGATAATAAGCAGTGAGTTATTGGTTCTCAAATCTCGTAAGGCACGCTTTGTACAAAGTTTATTACAATGGTGTGGATACAGTGTGCATTCGATCACAGTCTCTTAGAACATTCATGGGAAGTTAGAAGGAAGCTGACTGTATGCCTATGGCCTGGAATTGTAAAACATTTGCTTTGCTTCCATAAAATGTATTTATAAAAATATAAGTTTTTTAGCTTCATAAATAAACCCCGCACAGTAACAGCGCCTCCCATCCCACCTTCCCAATTTAGTCTTCAGTGCTTTGGACCAAAGTGATAAGCATCGTATAACTACTTTAAATCCCCTGGTCGCAAAGCACTCCAGAGGTGTTGATGAGTAAGCCATCTGTGTACAACTTATGAATTTATATTGATTTTATGATCTCTATGTATATCTAAGCAATCAGGCTTGAAACCAGATGGACCTCTTTTTGGGACACGGTGTTTGTCTGGCATAGGCAGGGGGATGGCATTTTGAAAAGCAGACCTCTCTATTCCCATCAGTGTGACCGTGCACCTATGGTGTGTGTGTGAAGTCACCCCAGCAAAGGTGGAGTAGTGAACTCTGTAAAAATGGCAACCTGCATGCATCATGTCCTCATGTATATCAGGTAACGCCAGCAGGAACATTCTGGTACTTCAGGGAATAATGTGACTCCATCATCCTAGGTATGAGTCTGATCCTCAGTGCGTATTAAATCGCCTATTTGCTCACAGGGACCGTGTCACGTATTACATCCCTTACCCGCAGGCAACTAAAAGGCAATCCAAAAGATTGTTAACATAGAATGACTTTGCCCTGGTAGGACAATGAATATGCTTTAGGAGGCTGGTAAAGGTAAAGGAAATCGTTTTTTTTTCCCCACCAGGCTGTCTGCAGGGAAGCAGGACAGCATGGAAAGTTCCCCAGTAGGAAAGGAGAATAAAGGAAAAGGTGTTAGAAGCTGCTGTTTAAAACCCCCCACATATGCTCTGTGAGGTAGGGGAATCTCTTCACTGCTGACATAACAAGCTAGAGAGATCTTGTTGAAAGGGCAGGGAGACTGTGAAGGCTCAATAGGAGAAAAAGAGAATCTAGGGCCTCTAGAAGGAATGAGCATTCGGTGACCATATTCCCCAAATGGAAAACCGGACACTGGGGTTAGCCAAAGCCCCCTGCTTCCCTCCCAGCTGGCTCAAGCTGCTCGCTAAGGCCCATTCCCTCTTCAGACCTGTGTGAGGCTGGCTCAAGCCACTCAACGAGCTCTGCCCCTACTCCCTGCACAGGACTGGCATCATTGCTGAGCCCTGCTTGTCCCCTATGCGAGGCTAGGGCTGGCATTGCCACTTGTCCAACCACTGCCTGCTCCCCCTGCCACCTAAGCCCTGCCTCCCTTCCCCCTGCACTGGGCTGGCATTGCTGCTATTCCCCCAAAAGTTCCTCTGCACCCACTCCATTTGTCCCATTTGCTCTTGCTAACTGATCATGAGAAGGGGCACCTGACACAGAGGCTGTACACTGGGAGAGAGCCTGAGAGGCAAAACCCAGTTCCCAGATGCTGCTCAGCCACAGAGGGCTCAGAATTGCACAGCATCCTATTGTGGGATCCAAACACAGCAGCCTGTTGAGTGTCCAGCAGGGGGAGCTGACCAGAACTGTGATGACACTATTATAAGAAAAACGGCTATTACTGATTTATAAGATGTAATGTCCATTGCCTAGGGCCCTGGGCTGGCAGTTAATAGTCCTGAATTAAAAATCAATTGACGTTCAATGCAACTTAGGTTTCTATGTGCATAAGTCACTTTTGAAAATGGAGTGCAAACGTGTAAAAAAATCTATCTGCACTTGGTGCGCATGGTCACTTTCTGGGTCCCAAGGTCCTGTGAGATACATAAATAACTTAAAAAACATTAAACATTTAAGACTTGGCCAATCCAACAACTGAAATCTGCTCAAGACAGATGGATAATACAATCAATTCTATTGAGCCTGGTCTTATCCGAGCAATTCAGTCTAGTCTACCTAACTGTTGCATGTAATCCTTCAAAAGACAATATTTTTTTCCCATGAGGTAAGCAGGTAGCAACTGCTTACCAGCTCATCTCTAAGGCTACCTCTTGACCAGTGGTCCCCAAACTTTTGGGGCTGCCGGGCTCCCGGGGGAGGCACCACGCATGTGCTGCGCGCCTGGGGCCGCACGTGTGCTGCTCGCCTGGGGCGGTACCACGCATGCGCTGGGTGCCTGGGGCAGGGGCCGTGCATGCACCAGGTGCCCGGGGCCCAACGCGTACATAAATACCCTGGAAGGTGCCATGGCAACCGCGGGCACCGCGTTGGGGACCACTGGTCTAGACTACAGGCTTTTTGCACAAGAAGCTTTTTCTGGAAGAGATCTTCCAAAAAAACTTCTAGTGAAAGAGAGCATCCACACTGCAAAAGCACATAGAAAAAGCCATGCACTTTTGCAAAAGAGAGCATCCAGACTGCCTGGATGCTATCTCACATGTAAGCAGAGTTTGCTATGGACAGAATGGCCACCAGGGCACCTGTGCTTTTTTCTCTTCCCTCTTCTTCCAAAAAAACTCCTCTTCCCCATCCACACATGCCTTTTCGTGAAAGAGCTCTTTTGCAAAAAGGCTTCTTCCTTGTAGAATGAGGAATACCAATTGCACAAAAACCCTTCTGTTCTTTCGATTTACTGTCGAAAGAACACACTTGCAGTGTGGATGTAACTCAGATTTTGTCGGAAAAACAGGAGTAGTCTAGACATACTCTAAATGTTGACAACATAATCAGAGAAACTTTTCACAATTTTTTTTCAGTGTTACAAACCTATGAATAAGATCTGATGCAAAGTTAACCATCTTGCTTCTAAGAATCACTATTCGCCTGATTCTTCTTTGCCCATCAGAATGTCTTCGGCTCATGAAAATATTGTTGTGTCAGTTGTGTGACTGTATTTAGCTACATGAATACACATACGTCTGTCAACAGATGGACAGGGCATTCAGTATGGGGATGGGGAGTGTCTCAATGGTTGGTATCACATGAGAGTTAGGGCCACATGCTTTATTACATTTGTTTGCATAGATATTGCAAATCAATGTTTGTGACTAAATAAATAGAGCATGAAAGTTATTTACCACACGGCTGGGTAGTCAAGGCTTCTGAAGAGAGTTAGATTTTTGTGCATCACATCACTGTAGCAACTGTATCAGAAATGTAGCCTGGCAGGTAGACAGGAATAAAAGAATTATATAAGTCAAGAGTGTAGTACAGTTTCTTGACCAGACACAAAGAAGTTGTGTGAATTGACAGATTAAAAGCCCATCAAAAAATCCCCAAAATGCAAAGCAAACCTTCAATCTTGTGTTTGGAAATAGCACATGTGGCTAATCTATGCACTTGCAAATAACATTTGCAAGTTATTCATATCTACTCATGTTGTAGCATTCCCTCAGCTGCCTTTCCCTCACCCCTGTTTATATCTTGTCCAAACCTAATCTTGTAAACACCCATGTGACATTTGTAGACTGGTCACATATATAAAATTAAACATGTAAGAGTTTTGTAGGACCAGGACTTAAGCACATGGGTTAGGGGGTTAGGAGCCATATTTTATTATATGTTTGTACAATGCCAAACACAGTGGGGTCCAATTTCCTACAAAAGCAATAATAACAGTGTAGTATGTCACTGTTCTAACCCTGCACTTGGGATGTCCATATTAGTCACAGATGCCCAATGGTGAAAGTTAAATGAGCAGGTCAACCCAAGAGTTCAATAAGGCCACATACCACAGATGAATCAAATTGTGCCCACAATTCCACTAATATAAAACCATAACTCTGCTGACACACACCAGTGGATGAGCAGAATTTGGCCCTGTGTATTTAGGCCAAGATATTAAAAAATAGATACATAAAGTTAAGCTCCTTCATCTATATTTACGTACCTAGCAGCTTGATTTCAAAAGGACTGAGTGAGCACCCTGTTTTTCCAAAAGCCTCTGGCAGTAAAAGTCTCACCGAGAATCACTGGAACACACGCCCTGAGGTTCCAGTGCAGCAAGGTACATCAGCTCTTACGTCACATGAAGTCAGTAGGACTATTCACACACTTAAGGTTAGGCACGTGTGTAAGTACCTTCTTGCAGAGTCAGAGCCCTATTCTTGTGGGTGCGTTAGAAAATTCCACTGCTTTGATGCTTTTAGGAGCTTGACTTCAATGGGTCTGTTTAAACAGAAAAAAACTTTTTAAAAAAGTGATTCATACTATTTTTTGTATTCCATTGCCTGTAGAAAGCTGGCTGGCTGAGTACCTTGGCCACAATTGCACAAGGTATGGAGGAAGAGAAAAATTTTAAGTAGGGCCATGTCTATATGTACATCACTGCAGTGTCACATAATTAAGCCACCTCTGTGCACAGCAAGTGCTATTTTGGGGGGAGAATCTCACTCGTCAGCATCGTGCTGTACACACGTGCTTATGCAGGCCCTAACTTATGTTGCTCGGTGGGGTGGTTTATTCATATGCCTGAGGGACATAAGTTATCCTGGCATAAGAAGTAGTGTAGACATAACTTACTACATTATAGAAACCTCTCAAAATTACTTTTCTCCCCATAGAGTCATCAAGTTTAAGACAGGGGTGAGAAATAAGTGCCACACTATTTACCTGCACATCTGCTCACAGCTCCCGTTGGCCAAGGTTCGCTGTTCCCGGCCAAGGGTGGCTGCGGGAAACAGCATGGATCAAGACACCGCTTCCTGCAGCTCCCATTGACCAAGAACAGCAAACCTCAGACAGTGGAAGTTGTGAATGTTCTACCTGCAGATGTATGATCAGCCCCATTTTAGAGAAGGTAAACTGAGGTATTAAGTGACTTGCCCATGATCATGCAGGAAATCTGCATCAAGACCAGGTGGAGAACTCACACCTCCTGGAACCTAGTCTGGTGCCTTACTTGCAAGAAGATCAATCCTTGAGAGGCTATTAAAATACTCTGAGAACTAGAATGTTAGATGTAGTTCTGAGCAAAAGAGAGGAAGTTTATTACATGGCTACAATCATACATATTTGGATAAGTTTAAATTTTTACTTGGAATATAAGTGCAGTGTGCTACTTCTCATAATACTGGTGCTATTTTTAAAACTTTAGCTGCTGAGTCAAATGATTTAGAATTTAGATTTAATATCCCTGCCTGCCCTCTGAGAATTTTGGCTTTCCTTAACAACATGTAAATTTCTAGCACTTATAATCACTTAATAAAGCTTAAAAACAAGCCCTAAAGGCTCAAATACCAGTGGGCAAAGGAAAAGAACCTACAAAAATCTAATTATTTCAGAATGTTTAGGCTTGGAAATACTCCAGGATAATAAACCTATAGACCCATTTTCTTAAAGGGGATTTCAACAGAAGTTACACACACCTTTGAGGATTTGGGAAATACTTCTGAGAGCTTTACAATTAACGTCTAAAATCTATCCTTTTTGTGAGGGGTGATTAGGACCTGTTTGGGTTTCCACCTTTTTTTGCACAGTTGTTATTAGTCCTCAATGCTTGTCCCTCTTCTTGTTCATCAATTGGTGCCCGTTTTCACATAGAGTGAGAAAACTGTGTCATGAGACTTAGGGATCGTGTGATCAGTAACAGGGGAGTATGAAATCCCTGCCTGCCCTGGGACGATCTCTATCTCAGGGGCAGTTCTGTGTCTGCAGTACTATCCAGAAGATCAACTTACTTGTTCTTGAGTGTGGTCCTGATCCCTTTCCTGGTTGTTCATGATCCTCATGGGCTAGTCCATGGAATTCTTGATCAACATCTTCTCCTGTTCCTGGTCCAGTCACGGTCCTGTTGGTGTCCCTTTTGCCCGGTGGCCCTGTGAATCTGATGATATACAGTTTTATCTGTTAGTCTTGTTAACCCACTGATGGTTTTGGGCCCCTGGCTTCAAGCTGAAGTTGTGTTAAGTACCAAGTTGTTTTAATAAAACCCTATTGTTATTTACACCCCATTTATTTCTCTATTCTTTATGGGGGGGGGGGAGATTGAAGTGGGGGATCACTACCAGTGACTGAAATATGGTTCAAGGGGTACCTGTGTCAAGAGGGGAAATGAGTTCCTGCTTTACTCTCCAAACCTCTCAGTTGCATATTGCAGGTTTAACACGATCATATACAGCAAGTTTTCATTCCAAGGAGAATTCTCGATGCTACCTAGGAAATGCTGTCCAAAAAAAAGGTCTTAAATCCATTGTTCTGCAGATCAGCTGTCAAGAGATACAATATCTCCTTCTCTGTGAGAAGTAATTCATTCTCTGTGTCACTGCTCTTTGGGTCTACCTTGAATAGACAGCCTGCTGAATTGGACTGAATTATTTAAGATATGATTTTAATGTGCAGTACTGCCTAACAAAGACTTCAGATCCTGTATTCCATCACATTCAAGATTAGAAAATATTATAATAATAAAAGTTCAGAGGAACAAACTATAATTTATATGAATTAATACTTATTAACCTTTTGGAATCAGTTTATTATCTGCTTCATCTGTTATTGGGGACTATATCTTGATCTTAGAGGGATATGAACAGGAGGTCAAACACAACAATTTTTACTAAAGCATAATTCCCATTGCAGTACTACCTGCATTTAAGGACAGGAGAATAAGTTGCCTGGTGATCTCATGGACCAACATCAGTCAACGGACTGGTCACCAAGAAACACTGAGCTAGCTCCTCAGCTGATGTAGGTAGTGTAGCTCCAAAGGACAATGAGGCACTCAGTCCTGTTATCTAAAGGACCTAGGTCAATTTATATCAGCTGCAGATTGGGTCCTGTATTCTGGATAGTAACATTGTGCATCATAACCTGTTTTTAACGGATAAATTTTGTGAGCAGGGATGTTTCCAAGTTTATAGCACTGGATTGAGATTCAATCAGGGTTAAATTCTTACCTCTGCTAAAAACTTTCTGCCTGGCCTTGGGCAAGTCACTTAGCTTCTCTGTTCTTCAATTTCCCCAAGTTTTGGCCTCTCTGAAGAGGACTGTAATAAAATCAAGGCATAACTTGTTCCTATCAAAAAGCCTACTGACTGCCCCTTGCTGGTCATCACCACCATCTCTGTGGGAAGAAATCCAAGCCTGCATTATGGAGACTGGGGGTATTGTGAACTGATCTGCCATATATCAGCACTTTCAGACAGAAATGTGAATTTCAGAATTGCCATCCCAAGCATTCAGAAGTCATGTACCAGAATCCCAACCATCACAAGTGGCTTTAATAATCCTGAGGTTTTAAAAAGCATTAAATCTGGACTTTTTATTTGCCTTTTAGCTTTTCACCTTCATAGATTTTTAGGCACAAGAGGGACTGGGAGATCAGCAAGTGCTGTATAATGCAGGTCAGAGAATTTCAGCCAAGTACATTCAGAAAGCCTTGGAAAAGGTCCCTCATCAAAGAGCCTTCAGCAAAGTAAACAGCCATGGGGGAAGACAGAAGGTTCTCTCATGGATCAGTAACTGGTTAAAAGATGGGGAATAAAGAAGAGGAATAAATAGCCAGTTGTCATAGTGGAGAGAGAAATATTGGCATTCTGCAGGAATCCATACTGGGAGCTGGAGATAGACACTCTCATGTCCCCAGGGGTACCATGTTGTCATTCATTGCCACTGAGCCAGCTTGCTCCTGTGTAAGCAGGATGGCCCTGTGAACTACTGCTCCACACCCTGCATGCACGGAACCTAGAGAAGCAAGCGCAGGATTATATTTATGTAGTGGTAACGTTTTATGGCATGGAGCCTTATCATGGGCCAGGATCCCATTGTGCTCAGTGTTGTATAAACAGTATCACTGATCAACAATACTGCCCTTGTCCAAAAATAATTTATGGTGCCCCATCCATGCTGTATTATTTAGCCAGTTCTCTAGACCCCAAATAAATTGCAAGGAACCATACTCGTTCGTTAACTTGGGAAGACCATACACCATGAACAAGAAATGCATTAATTATGCCACTGGCTGTTGCTACTGATTGGTTTTGGTTTGGCAATGCCACAAAAATGCTACCCATCCTATTTCATTTTTGTCAAATGTCATTTCTTATAATCTGTGGCATGGGAGACCTGATTTGAAGGAATTAAAAAAAAAATCCTAATTCAAATCAAGTGAGTTATTCATCACTCAAGCCCTGAATTCTGCACCTCCCCATCACCTGCAAGGTCAAGAAGTACAACTTTCTTTGTTTTTAAACTCTAACTGTTCTTCCTTGGCTATGCCTCGCCTAAGGGCTCTTGGCGACTGCTCAGAATATATAGAATTTTCTTGTCTGCTTGGCTGTATTTCCTTCATTTTTAGCAGAGACTTGCAGTGCATGGATAAGTTGCAGTGCATGGAAAGGAAGTGGAAACGGATGTTTAGAAATCAGTCTTAATTTAGAGACCTGTTTTAATTTAATCAGTCTTAAATTAGAAGACTGTTTAAAAATCTGTCTTAATTACAGAAGAAGTCTGATTTCATGAATATCCGATATTTTCTTTTCAGTTACATGGGAAATGGTTATCACACAATGTAAAGGAATGTTGCAGAATTGAAATTTTCAAAAATACCTCAGGCCCAGATCTGTAAAGTTATTTAGGTACCAATCACTCACTGAAATCCATGTAGGTGCCTAAATACCATTGAGGCTCTGGTCCTAAGTGACTTAGGAATGTAAGAGAATCTACTCATCACTATGCAAGTCCTGATGACCAGGGATGGCATTGCTGCTCTCTTGCTGGGATAGTGCCCCTCTCTTGACCACCATTCCTATGTGGGGATGGTTTGGTATCTGATAACTCAGCTGTCTGACTAAGCCTCAGTCATCTAACCCTGCTGATGTCCCAATTGCTCAAACTAAACTTCTGCCTTCTGTGGGGTTCTTGTTCAGCCAGGCTATTCATTCAAGGTCTCTCCCAGACCCCTCTGTCGGGAAAGTTTTTCTGCCTTATTTTACCCAGGCTGAGGATCCATCCCAGAACTGCCCTCTCAGTATTTAACCCTGGCTCCTTTTATACAGGAATCACCTGACTTCTCTGAGATGAGGCGCATGCTGTAATCAGGGATGGCTTAAGCCCCAGCTCTCAAGCCACCCTGTTACAAGCACAAACAAGTCTCAAACTGAAAATGCATCAAAGTATATAGAGCTGGACACCCAACACAAGAATATCACCAGCACTGATCTCCATCTACACGAATCAGAGTTAAAACTGAAAATCGATTAACTCATCCCACTGGACCAACTCTGAGTGCTAAGGTGCCTGGAGGAGACAAGCCAGCTCATAAAAAAGTTCTAATATAGAACTTTTTATCCAAGCATCTCAGAGTGCTTTATAAAGGTGGGTAAGCCTCATTCTTCCCATTTTACAGATGATGAAAGTGAGGCCTGATTAAGGCTTGATTTTTAGGCTGTCATACATACAAGTGCACCTGCAACAACTAGGCACAACTGATGCCTAATTTAACTGGACAATTAATGCAGTCACATGCAAATTGTATATTTACATATGCAACTTGAGCCCCATTCTGTACCCTGGATATCATTGGCGAAGCTCTGTTGAGTTCTCTGGTGTAGGAATGGGGCCCATTGCCAGCTGTGTATCTTGCTATTTAGTTTCCCTGCTAATACCCCACCATATTTCTCAGACTCACAAAGTGGATCTGTGTTGTTTATTTTTCTCTTTTACTGTAGGGCTATGTATTATTTAGTATCTAGATTCTCCTTGCTGGCACAGCCCAGCTGTTTTATGATCTGTCCTCCTGCATGGTTTTCTGCTGATCCCCTGCAACTGGGTCTCATTGTCAAATGTGATCAGTATTTGTGCTGTTCCATGTGTCTGGAACACTTCCTCTCTCCGCAATAGTTACTCTCTGTCTCTCTCTAACTCAGAGTATGATCTTTCTTTTCCCTTTAGTTTATCTTTGATTCTCATCTTGAAGCACATCGCACATGACGGACAAAAAACAAAACAAAACCACAAAACACAACCCAAACCCAAATTGAGTTTGAGATCTTTACTGTTTCTCTTGTAGACTGGTAAATCGCATGCACTTTATAAGGATTCCCACTGACCACGTCATTTTAAATAGTCACTTACTTAAGGGATTGCAACACCCACTATTGCCCAATAAGGCAAATACTTGCAAGCACAAGAAGATTTTGGCATTTGATGTCTTTAAAAGAAATTGGATAAAATTCTGAAGCCATGGCAGGCAATGGCAAAGCTTCTGTTGCACTTCTTCAGTTACCTAGGGTACGACTACACAGCAGTGATATTTCAGAATAACTGACCATATTCTGAAATAACATAGTCTGCATCTACACTACAAGCAGTTATTTTGACATAATGTCGAAATAATGTTGAGCTGGAGGACTTCTTACTCCAACTCCTGTAGGGATAACATATTAATGTATTAAAAATGTGATTCCCCCAAATGGAAGTGACTCCCCATAATTTGTTCCCCACAACTTAAAGTGTTTAGATTTATTAGGATTCTTCTTCTTATTATTATTATTTGTTAAGATTGTTAAATGTTTAGATTTATGATTATTATTGCCCCTTTAGAATATAATATATTAGGTCATGTAACTTAGAACTGTTAACTTCTTCAGTTACCTAGGGTACGACTACACAGCAGTGATATTTCAGAATAACTGACCATATTCTGAAATAACATAGTCTGCATCTACACTACAAGCAGTTATTTTGACATAATGTCGAAATAATGTTGAGCTGGAGGACTTCTTACTCCAACTCCGTAACCCTCATTTTACAAGGAGTAAAGGAAGCTGGAGAAAGAGTGCTCTTTCTCAGACTTCTTGCTGTGTAGACAGTGCTAAAAGCCGAAAT